GGATTGTTCGGGTGTCCGTTGTCATGGCATCCCCAACAGTTGAGGAAGTTTCACTAGCCACTACAGTCAACCCGCATAGTAGGGATGGGCTGCTTTCCCAAGGGTGCCCTTGCATCCTTGCCTCCTCGCTCGAAAAAACGTGAACGTGGATCTCCAAGGCTCATGCATCCTTATCGCGCATCCTTGTTATACGGGTTGGCTGTAGAGTCACTCGCCTGCTGGCATTCCAGGGCTAGTCCAGCTTTCGTAGCGCCGCGCTCCGCGAAGCTCTACGGGTCATTACTCAGCCGCTGCTTCGCACTCGGGAAAGCTCTCCGAGCCGCCTGTGCAATCCAGAACCCCCGCGTTCCAAGGCCGCGCTGCGGGGCTGTGTCGAGGTCGTCGCCGTCGTCGTCGTCGTCGTCGTCGTCGCCGTCCTCGTCGTCGTCGCTGCGCTGCCCCCGGATTGCTGGACCTCCCCAGGCCTCTGGCGTCGCCGGAGGCCTAAGGCGGTCCATCTAGGCCTCTTAGATTCCCTTGTGCGGTCGCAGTAGGTTCAAGTCGGACCTGTCCCTCTACAGGGGGAATGTTCAAAAATAGTCCAAAAATAGTCTGGGGACTACTTTTTACATGTTTTGAACATGTTTGGTGTATTTTTTTACTATTTTTCATTTCTCGTCCAAAAACCCCTGTAGGGGGACAGGCCCGACTTAACAGTAGGTGGGGTCGGGGGATCGCGCCGCATCGACGATGCATCGCCGATGCGGCGCGATGTGCAGCCCGATGTGCTTCACGTCGACGTCGCCGATGCATCGCCGACGTCGACGTTGGGCCCGCGGCTGGCCCGCGCCGGCGCAGGGGTCGCGCCCGAGCGCGCACACCGCAGCCGCAGGCGGCTCGAGCGCGCACCGTGGGCCGCTTTTCTTGGAGGAGGAGGTGGAGGAGGAGCAGGAGAGGGAGGAGGAGAAGGAGGAGGAGGAGGAGGAGGAGGAGGAGGAGGAGGAGTGGGAGGGGAGGAGGAGGAGTGGGAGGAGGAGGATGAGGAGAAGGAGGAGGTCGAGGAGGAGGTGGAGGAGGAGGAGGAGGAGGCTCCTCGAGAAGGCTCGCGCCGTGACAAAAGCCAGGCGAGGTTTTTCGTCGGTTTGGGCCTCTAGGGGCCTTTCGCAAGGGCAACGGTAGGACGATAGGGGGGGGGGATAGGCATAGGAGGGGACGCATCGACCCCCAATCGCCCGTTGATCGCCGATAGGGGCCCAATAGTTCAAACCTGCCCAGGAACCTGCGTGTTCAATATCAGGGGCCTATCGCCGATCTATCGGCAGTGCATCGGCGATTCCAGGACGATGCTTCCCCCCTATGCCTATCCTCCCCTATCGTTGCCCCTCACTCTCTCGGGCCTCGGGGCCTTCAGAGTCACGGCTCGGGAGGAAGGAGCGGTCCCGCGGAGAGGGTCCGGGTGTCTGGGCACCCCGCATGGGCTTCTCAGGACGTCGCAAGTCTGGGTGGTGTTCGCCCGCGCGTCCGCTGGCCAGCCGCCGGCCGGAGATGGCGCTGGCGCAGGCGCTCCCAGTCCCCCGCCTGCCTCCTCGATCGACAGTCGACCTCCCCAGTCCTCGATCGAGGTGGCGAGGTGCGAGGTCCCACGGGGCGCCCCCGTGGCCACGGCCGGACTCCTTCTCAACGCTCGAGCCAGAGCGCACCCCTGGACCTTGGAGGACAAGGCCAGACGGAGGGGGGCGGTTTGGGGCAACTGGGCCCGGTGTGAGGGGAGGGGGGCAGGATTCGGCGGCGAGCGAGGGGGGAAGTGAGAAGGAGAGGGCCTTCTGAGAAGGATCGGAAGCTCCCCGGCCTTCGGATGAAGAACTTCTCAGAAGGCGCGAGGGCTTCTGAGAAGGCCCGCCGCCTTCTGAGAAGGCCTTCTCCTTCTCATTTGCCCCCCTCGCTCGTTGCCAAAAGATGTGATGGGAGTGCGGATCGGGGTCTTAATGCATTCGTCTGTTTTGGGCTTCTCGTGGGTCGCCCTCGTGGTCACGGTTGCACCCGCCGCGAATTTTGACCAGAGCGCGCACTCAAGAAGACAGGTCTGAGGTTCGAAGTTGCCGAGGAGGACCCAGACCTCCGACATTGTTATCTAATTGTAAGTCGGGCGCGTCCCTCTACAGGAGGAATGTCCAAAAAAGTCGCAAAAATAGTCGGGGACGATTTTTTGAGTATTTCTGGTGTTGTTTCAAGTCTGTTTGAAGTTTTTTCCTTTTTTCGTCAAAATCCGTCTGTAGGGGGACATGCCCGACCTAAACCTAACTGTTTCTGTCATCTAGGCTTCTGGTGGGGCCCTTACTCATTCCTGGCCTCAGGGCCGTCGGGGAGCGAGCATGGAGGAAAAACCCGCACTGGTTGTGGAGAGCTCGATTCGTTCAGGTGGGGGCTTGGTGCTTCCTGGGCCATCCCGCCCCTGCCCGTAGGTTTGGTGCTTCCTGGGCCATCCTGCCCTTGCTCTGGCTCCTCCTATTACTCCGTCTCCTCCTCCTCCTCCTCCTCCTCCTCCTCCTCCTCCTCCTCCTCCTCCCCCTGCTCCTCCTCCTCCTCCTCCTCCTCCTCCTCCTCCTCCTCCTCCTCCTCCTCCTCCTCCTCCTCCTCCTCCCCCTGCACCTCCTCCTCCCCCTGCACCTCAGCACAACGCCGTGCGTGCTTTTCGAGGTGCCGGTCTCGGGAGAAGTCTGGCGGGGTCCGCGGCGCGCTTCCGTGGGTGCAAGACCTACAGTGATCGGCTGGAGTAAGGAACACTTACTTTTCAAAAGGGGCTCGGTCGTTCCGTAAGGCTTGCATGCGTTAACTACGTTTCGTTCCTTCTGCGTTGTTTTTTAATTCAAAAAAATGTATCGTTCCTTATGCTTTGTTCCTTGGAAAACAGGGGCTTCGTTCTTTATTGATCGTTCCTTAGGTCAGGCCGATGACTGTAGCTGTGTCGGTCGTCATGGTGATACTCGGGGGCCTCAAAAGCTCTGTGAGTAGCGGGCGGGCTGGAGGCCCGAGCCCGCGGCAGTTATATGCCGGCCTCAGGGCAATCCGAGGTTGCTGGGGTCACCCGTGTGCCCCCAGAGGTGTCTGTCTGTCGGTCCTCCCAGAAACTGTTTCTATATATCTATATATATATGTGTAAAAATCGGCGATCGCCCGGTTTATCCAGGGGGGGGAGGAGTGGGAATTTATGCATGACCACCGCCCAGAGGGCCAGTCTTCGGAGCCTCGGCAGGCGGTGGACACTCAGATCTTCGGGCCCCCGGGGGGCCGAACTATGTCCATATCCGCCGCCCGCTGGGGCACCAGGACGTCGGTTCCCAGGCGGTGCATATGGATAAATCCCCGACTCGCATTTCGGGCCGGACGAAAGGGGGGGATTGGGAAAGGGGGGGCACGACGTCTGCTGCCTGCAGCTGGCTTCACCCCCACCGAGGGGGGGCCCATTCCTCGATACATAATTAGCCGCCTCTGGCGCCGGGAGGCGCCGGGAAAGTCACCCCCCCCTTTGCTGTCCCCCCCTTTCGCCCGAGCACTCTCGCAGAAGATTGCACGCCCTTTGCTATCCCCCCCCTTTGCTACCCCCCCCTTTGCTATCCCCCCCCCCTTTGCTATGTTCCCCGGGGCCCCTTTCGCCCGGCCCGAGCACTCTCGCCGAAGATTGCACGCCCGCGCCTCGGCCGGCCCCCCTCCTCGCGGCGCGGGTGCGCGCGGCGCCTCTCGGACCCATCGCCCCCGCGCGCTCGCCTCTGCCCGTGCTCGAGAGGCCGTCTCGCAGGGCACCGCCGCCGGCCCTGAGCAGGAGGTCGTCCTCGAGCGAGGGGATCGATTGCATGCTGTTCCTTCTAAATTGTTCGAAACTTCTTTGGTTTTTTGGTGCCAGGATCCTTTTTCCATTTCTGCTTGTTCCATCCTGGGCGTCTTCCTGGCCACTTAGGGGGCCAGGAGCAACCAGAAGAGAGCACAATTATAGCAGTGAGCACGATCAGAAATGAACGACGTGTACAGGACGGATCTACCCCAGAATTGATTGACCGTCGGCTCTACGAACGAGCGCGTAGAATGCTCGATGGCCCTCGCGTCGGGGATCGACTGCATAACTGAGTTGCCCCAAAGTCGATTTGCCGTCGAACCTGCGAAAGAAGGCGTAGGGTGCTCTACCGAGCACTCTGCGTATGGATTCTAGGCTCGACGAGCAAATCGATGTTGGGGGAAATCAGGTCTGTAGTCGATCCCCTACTCGAAGCACTGGGCCTGGGATCGGTGTATATATATATATATATACACCCATCATGGCCGAGCCAGGAGGGCGCGACTATGCTGCGATCTTGGGTCCATGAGGGACCTGGCCAGGCCGGGTGCAGGTGTGCAGTTGGCGGCGCCCTGCATACTGGCCGCACTCCAACCCCTTCTCACGCCAAGCTGGCACCGTAGACGTCCTCGCGACGTTCGGCTCGCACTCGCTTTCCCCTTCTGCGTTCGCGCCATGTTTCTGCGCGGCGTTCCTCCTTGGGCTCGGCCCCGAAAGTAACTTGGGCCCGCTCACTCCGCTGGAGTGCACTCCGCAGAGTCTGGGAAACGAGGGATACCAGAGCCATCCTCATCCTCCTCCTCCTCCTCCTCCTCCTCCTCCTCCTCCTGCACTTCCTCCGCCGAACCTCCTCGTCCTCAGTCCCGCTCCTCCTTCCCCTCCCAACCCTCTGGAACCGAGGTAACCCCCAAACACTTTGTTGCGTCGGCAGCCAGCCCCTCGCTCCGCGTCGGGGCGGTGAAGTCGCGCCTGAGTTGGGAGCCGGGGAGGAGCTAGAAGTACGGGATGGGAAAACCTCCCAACACATACACACATGCACACACACACGCACACACCAGCGTATGCAGGAACAAATCCTCTTCGCCTCCTCCCTTGTATTACCTCCTCCTCCTCCTCCTTCTCAGCCTCCGTCCTCCACCCTCTCCCCGTTCCGGCCTCTCCACAGCCACTCTGGCTCGGGTGCAGGGGCAAGCCTCACCGCTCCGCATGCACCTGCGATGGAGGAGACCGACTCGGCCGCGCTGGGAAGCGGTACGCTTGCGGGCTCGGCCGACTCCTTCATGGGTGCCTCAGGCCACGGGGGGGACCACCGGGAAGATGGGTGGACATGACGTGCTCGGCGCTTGGACGAGACTCGGGCACACGTTGCATACAGTCGGGGCCCTGAAGAAGGAACCCTTTTCGTTGGGGAGGGGCTCCGTGTTCCTTAATTGTTTCGCAGTTTGCCTTAGGTTTTCCTTAGGTTTCCGATATGCAATCGAAGTTTAACTTAAGGAAAATAGGGGCCTTGTTCCTTATTTAGGGTTCCTTCGGTCAACGCCCCGGCTGTACTGTGGCCAGCCTGGGCGAGAGGTGGGCCGGCGTGTACTCGCACCCGCTTCCAGCGATCGGCCCGCGCGTGGCCGGGAGTGCCCACGCTCCCTTCATGTGGCGCCCGCGCCGTCTGCGTGCGAAGTCGGCCGCAGGTGTGTCCGGCTCCCTCCGCGCGCCCGGGGCGGAACTCTTTCAGGAGGAAAAAAACACACAGACACAATTCATCGTCGATTCCCCCGAAAAGATGGGAAACTATGGGAAGTGGGGGGGAAGACAAACACCCAGAAAAGATAGGAAAATATGGGGGATATCTTTATTTGTGTGGATTTGTTTGTGTGTCCCAGTTCCCCTTCACTCTTCCACAGCCTGAGGGCCCTCCGCCTCCTCCCGGCCTCTGCAGCCGCCCTGCCGCTCTCGCTCTCCCCCCCTCCTACCTCCTGGGCCCGCTTTGCCATCTCGGCCGCCCCTCCTCGCCCCATGCTGCTGCGGGCCGCCTCCGCCTCGCCGCCGACGGAGAAGTGTGTCCGGCCTCCTGCCGCGAAGAGTCCGCGGGCGATATGAGTGCACCCTACTACCGCGGTGGCGTCTCCCGAGGCGTTGTCGACCTTCGACCCAGGAGTGGTGCGGTGCACGGCTGATCGGCCCTCGGGAGCCCTAAGATTGCGCACCGCCTTGCGTTGGAGCGGGGCCCGAACGGAGTCCAGGCATGGCAAGGAGCACGGGCGCCGTTCTCGTAGACTTGGCATACGAGGGAATGACAATGCCAGTGGTGGTTGTGATGATGAAGATGATGAGGGCGATGACGCGCTGATGAAGATGATGAGGGCGATGAAGAAGAATATGATGTTGATGATGATGATGATGATGATGGTGATCATGATCATGATGATGATGATGATGATGATGATGATGATGATGATGGTGGTGATGATGATGACGATGATGAGGGCGTTCTCGTAAGATGGAGGCGGTGGAAGTGGAAGCAAAGCCAGGAGCGAGCTTGTGCGCTCCGTCTCGGGCAGCAGGGCCCTCACGGGTCGACCGGGCCCGGAAGGTCCGTGGTATGGAGGAGGTCGAGAGATCCGGCCACGGTCTTGCGCAGCGTGGCGGTTTTTGCTCGCGGCATCTGGTGCTGCTGCTCTTTCGGTCTTCTCGATGCGCATCCCGACATGACGGTGTGCTCGCCAGCTACATTGTGACTCCAGTCGTGGCCGGTTAGTGTTCCTCAGACACCTCCTCCCGCTACGTCCACTGCAAAGCGGCGCGCAGGACTAGCGGTAAGGCGCCCAGGCTTTGGACGTGCGCGTGGTTGGTTTCTGGAGCTGGCCGTGCAGCTACGCCCGAGGAGGAGGAGGACAGGCCCTGTCCCAGAGAAATTGACCGTCCTGATCGTGTCAGGGCCCCAGGGTTCTGGGCTCCCCGGCCGTGCGCCCAGCTGGAGCAGAAGCACCAGGGCGACTCTGGCATCGCCAGAAGGCCCTCTAACGGACGCAGTCGCCTGAAAACCATTTTTTCGCCGTCGTCGTCGTCGTCGTCGTCGTCGTCGTCGTCGTCGCTTCGTCGTCGGTTCGTCGTCGTCGTTGCCGTCGCCGCCGCCGCCGCCGCCGCCGTCGTCGTCGTCGTCGTCGTCGTCGTCGTCGTCGTCGTCGTCGTCGTCGTCGTCGTCGTCGTCGCCGTCGGGGCCGTCGCCGTCGGGGCCGCCCAGGCAGCGGCGGCGAGGCCGACGCCGCAGAGGCGGCGGCGGGGCTGCCGCAGCCCGCGGGCGGCGGCGCGCTCGCGGGCTCGGTCGGCCGGGGGGCCCCAGACGTAAGTCTCAGGCAGGTCCCTCTGCAGGAGGAAGATCCAAAATTAGTAGAAAAATAGTCTGGGGGGATTTTTGATGTTTTGCTTGCTGTTTTAAAGATTAGCACGCACACACACACACATACATACATATACACGTGTGTGTGTATATATATATATATGTATATATATATATGTATAGATGTTTTGAATTCTTCCGTCCCAACTCCACCTCTAGGGGGACATGCCCGACCTAACCCAAGGCTGTCTGGCTGCAGACCGCGCGGTTGCTTCTCAGTAGCGAAACGAGGACGTTCACGTACATAAGTCCACGTTGGTTTCGAGAGTACGAAGTGCGCGAACGTTCGCATCACGCGGCCGGTCTCGCGGATTGGGGGCCGTGTTCAAGTACATGGTTGGGCGCGTACGTCCTTTGGTGGGCTTTCTGACTTCAGACCCCGAGGACCTCACCGCACTGCGGGCCAGAGGCTGGCGTTTAGCATATTCACTGTAGAAACGCGGCTAGACGATGTAAGCATACAGCCCCGAAGCTTGTCTCGTGCCGCGCGCACCTGGGCAAACGTGAGACAGGAGCCACAAACGTTCACCCTGAGGCGCACGGCTGGCTTTGATTGCTTGATAAAGCGCAGAGGCTGGCTTTTAATTGAACACTCCCGAGGGGGCAGACACCGCCGTCCCACTGCTTTTGGAGCCGAGGAGGGCCCCGACAAGCGACAAGCCGCCAGGACGGCCGCAGTGAGGCCCAAAGAGCCCTCGGAAAGGGCGCTGGGGTCTCTGCGAGCGGCCCAGAAATATACCAGATTGGGGCGAGTGCGGCGGAGTGGGTTGAACGAGGGAATCTGGAAGGGAAACAGCTGGCTGCTATCGAATTGAAGGCCCATGGGGGGGCAGACGCCGCCGCCCCACCAATTGGTTGGATCCTGGAGACTCTGTGGGAGCGGCGGCCGCTCCGCGCGCGCGGATAGGAGATGTTGTGGTGCTGGTGCTGGTGCTGGTGCTTCCGCTTGGAGGCCTCGTGGGGCTCTATGGGGAGGACATTGGGCTCCTCAGCGAGCTCTCTGTCGAATGACCCTGAGCCCAGGACGGCCGCAGAGAGGCTGGAGGAACTGAAAGCAGCGAGCTCTGTGTCGCATGACCCTGAGGCCAAGACGGCCGCAGAGGGGCTGGAGGACATGAAAAAACCGTCGGGCTCGTCCCAGAAAGCGCGCCGAGCAGTGCCTTTTCACATGACCCCGAGGCCAGGACGGCTGCAGAGAGGCTGGAGAAGCTCAGAAACACCGTCGGGTTCGTCCAGGGGGACCTCTGGAGGGGCCCCAAAAAGGAGCCAGAATGGGTCAAGTGCGGCGACTTGGGGTGAACGATGAAAACAGGAAGGGGAAAATAGCAGTCGGGGCTGGTTTGCGGCCCCTAGAAGAGCCCCATGGAAGCTCTGAGAGGGCGCCCGAGGTGAGCGAAACACGGTGCCAAGAAGGCGGCCAGACGGCCCAAGACGGGTCCGAGAGGTTGTCAGGACGGTCGTAGAGAGCATGTCCGGGTTCTAAGATGGCCGCAATAGCCAGCGGAGATGCACGGGAGCTCCGAGAGAGGCGCAAGGAGAAGTGTGAGAGGGCCAGAAGCATCAACATCTTACGTGTTTTACGATGCGTGTTGCTTGTTGCGGTGTTCTGATGCATGTGGCTCGACAAGAGGTGGAATGGCATCTGAAACGGCTCAAAGCGGCCTGAAGGAGGATACAAATTAACTCAGGAGGGCCTCAGGAGACCCGAAAAGCCAGCCCAGTGGGCTCCTGGAGGGGTCTCTGAGAGCGCCTGGCGGCGCCTGGATGGCTAGCACGTGAAAGGGGGGTCGTCTTGGGATGGAAGTGGCGGCCAGAAGGCGCCCCGGCCGCAGCTGGGGCCCCTGGGCCGGCGGAATGAGCGAGGCGCGGGGAGGACCCAAGGAGGGACCGCGAGGGCTCAGAGGCAGGGGTTGATATGAAAAGCGCGCTGTAGAGAAGACTTCCACAAAACACTACTGAAGACCATGCTGTGGATCTCGCACGCCGTACCCGGTGGGGCGGCGGATCGCTTCGCTCACTCCGCCGGCCCATCTTGCCTCGGCGCTGTCGTTTGCCAGGGTGTTGTTGTCAATGCGGTGCCGTTGATCGGCTGCCATTTTTCGGAGGCGGTGGGTGGTGGGTCAGAGGCCTCATGGATGTTGGTTGGCCTCTCGTGGTTGGCCTCTCGGGGGCCTCTGGGAAGCAGAATTGAGGCCCCTTGGGGGCCGTGTTGGGGCCTCGTGGTGCCTCTGGGGGGCATCTTGGGGCCGCTTGGGATGCTGCCTCTTGGGGGCCCCTTGGGGCCTCCTGGGGCCTTCTTGGGGCTGAAGGCTGGACTTTTCAGGTCCTGGTCCCCTTCTTGGGCCCCTCTTGGGGCCGTTTTGGGGCCCTCCTTGGCCGTCTTTGGCGCCTCTTGGGCTGTCTTTGGGCCATCTTGGGGGCGTGTTGGGCCATCTATAGGCGCTGTTGGAGGCCTCTGGGGCAGTTCTAGACGCTGTGAACCCCAAACATCCCACATGCGAAACATGCACGTTTTCCGGGAGGAATGAAACGATTTCGCCTTGGAGCGATCTTGCGGCGACTCGGGGCCTCTTGGGCCGTGCAGGGGGCGTTCCGGCGCTCTCTTGGCGCGCTCCTGGGCGCCCTGGGGGAGTCTGCTGGGCATCGCCAGGTGTACTTTTCGTCCAGGGGGCCCCAGGGGCCGCCGCGCGCGCAGACTAGAAATATTGTTATATAGCCTGTTACCGGAGATCTTAGCACGGGTTTGGCCCGTTGGGCCGGCGATCTGTTTGGTCGCTTCGCTCACCCCGCCGGACCGCATAGCGTCATCCATGTTTGCTTGGTCGTATAGCGGTGCAAGACCGAGGCGGGGTCGATTACACTGAGCCTCCGTGGGTCTCCTGAGGGCTGTATTGGACCATTTTGGGGCTAGAGGCTCCCCCAAGGTGGCCTGCATGGAGGGGGAGGGTGGCCTGGCGAGGCCCAGGGAGAGATCTTGAGACATTTGTCTGCGCGCTTTCTCGGCACAGCACCGTCTCGAAAGGCGGCGGGGGCGAGGGAGACGTCCGGCTTCAATGCAGGCGCCCCTTCACCGCGCATGTTTTGTTGATTCTGGAGCCCCCAGGCGCGCAGGACATGCTCGCAGAGCGGCCCACGTCCCAAAAGGTCCGTCCATGCCGAGACACTGCCGATCCGCCAAACAGTCTGGTCACCGCGCCGTTGTTTAGCACCCCCACAGGTCGGCTCCTGCGCGGGCGCTTCAGGCGGGGGGCGGTGATGCGAATGTCGACCTCTTCGTCGATGTCGTCGCACTCCTCCTTCAATTCCTCAGTTGTGCTGTTCACCGATTTGAGAGCCAGGCCACGACTTGTTGGGATCACCATGCCGCTGCTGCCGCTGTTGCTTCTTCACTGGCTGTCTCTCTCCTTCCGTCGTGCCTGCGCCAATCATCATCCTTGTCCCTCTCCTCCTTTCCATTTCTTCTCCGTGTAGGTATCTTAGCCCTGCCGAGCCACCAAACGCGCATGAGACTTACCCGCGGCTCATGGGCCTGCAGCTTTGAATTCCCGAGAGCGACACTGACGAAGGGCGGTGCCTTTCCAAAATGGGGTTCTCACTTCTGCGCCGCGCACACAAACACACACACACACACACACATTCAGCTCAAAAGTGTCCATAGTTTCACGGATGAAGTGCGGTACTTTTTCGGAAGGGGGGCTGTGGCCCTAGGTGCCGCACGCGCTCGTTCCAAATCGACTAACGGCTGCATGGGTGGAGGGCGGTACCGCTTCAGAAGAGGGCTCTCGCCAGGGCGAGCACACCCGCCCAGCACATCCCACCGCTACGCCGGTGGGGCGCGGCTCCTGGTCAGAGTGAGGCCCTCGCCCTGGTGCCGCGCAACTCTGTTCTACACATGCCCATCAGGGGGCAGTACTTTTCTGAACAGGGGGCCCCCGCTTGAGGCCTGCTCAGTGCCTATGGCCCGCAGTGCCAGTGATGCAGCAGTCACTCGGGTGGAAAGCCAGGTTTGCACGGATGGATGGCCGATCCTCTCCAAGTTTGAGATCTCGTGTGGCAGTTCCTTTTGGTTTCATGGTGAGACCTCTCTGCACGTTTTGTATCAGGAGGGGAGAAAAACACGCAGACACAATCAATCGCCGATGCCCAGGAACATATGGGAAAATATGGGAAGTGGGGGGAAGACAGAAACCCAGAACATATGGGAAAATATCGGGAATCGTTTTATTTGTGTGTATTTGTTTGTGTGTGTGTGTGTCCTGGGGCCCCTTCAATGGTGAGACCTCTCTGCACGTGTTGTGGCTGGATGGATGGCAGCCTTTTCAAGACGGGGTCTCGCCTGCCTGGCAGGCAGGCCCAGGGGGCGCCTGTCCTCAGCGAGGAGCGCTTCTCCTCGCAGAGGCGAGGGGGTCCCTGTGAGGACCACTGGGGAGGTCCTCTTGATGGGAGGGTGCCTCGCAGCGTCGTTGGCGCATCTTGGGCTGACTCTGGCCCCTCCCCTCTTCCTCGGCCCTCCCCTCCCCTCTCCCTCGTCCTCGTCCCTCCCATCCGCCCTATTCATGATGCCGCAATCGCGGCCGCACGCATCGCAGCATCGCATCGTCTACAGGCCTAGAGTGGCATCGCACGCACCCGCTCGCCGAGCTTCGTGCCCTCCTCCTCCTCCTCCTCCTCCTCCTCCTCCTCCTCCTCCTCCTCCTCCTCATCCGCTTCAGACCCCACATTGTCCTCGGCTGCGGCAGGGGCGTTCACCAGCTACAGTGTTGAAGGCAGGCTGGGGAGACAGACGTCAGCCATGCCATCAGCTTTAGTGTGGGGATCCGCTCGTATGCGGGGGTTGCAAGATTGCATGGCAGGTTTGCGCGGAGTCGGGACCTAACGTCGTCAGCAGCAACGCAGCACTCCTCTTCAGCTAGGGCAGGCCTGGTGTAGCAGATGTGCCCCCCGCCACTCGGGCTGTGTCCTTAGATGCCCACGTGTGTAGCAGTTATGTCGAATCCAAAATCTAGACGCTTCGTATCACCCCACCAGCCCATCCAGAAACAATGCCCAGAGGAGTTGACTCGACCAGGAAAATAGGCAGCATGCAGAGGAAGGGTCCCCCAGTGGAGGCCTCTTGGAGCGTCTTGGGGGCCTCTTGGCGGTCCTGGAGGCCTCTTGGAGCGTCGTGGGTGCCTCGGCGAGCTTCTTGGGGCCCCTTGGGGGTCTCTTGGGAGCCTCGTGCAGGCCTCTGGGGCGCCTCCTGGGCGCCTCTTGGGGCCCTCTTGAAGCTCTCTTGGGAGCCTTGGGAGCGCTCTTGGGGCCATCCTGGAGGACATCGGTCAAACGAGAGGGGAGCTTCAATTAGCCTGCCCCCCCCCAAGAGGCCAACATTGGGCCCGTGGTAAAACCACGGATTTTTGGCTTCCTCGCCGAGGCTGTTGTGGACGCTCCAGGTCCAGGTCCAGGGGGGGGGGGGGGGGTAGGGGGAGGGGTAAGCCCTTCCCCGAAGGGGAATCATGGGGGTTGGAAGAGGAAACGCCTTAGACCACCTACGCCCATAGGGCTGGTGGGATTCCATCTGTATCCTTCCCCTGTTCATCTGCGTCGGTCTGCTCGTTCCCCCCCCTCATTATCCTCATCCTCCTCCTCTTCTTTTGTCCTCCTCCTTTTATTCGGTTTTCCTGTACTGTCTTCGCTGTCGTCATCTGACAATTCCGCTGGCCTGTCCTCCCTCCTCCACGGTTTCCGCTCCTGACACAGATTCCCTTCCTTTTCCGTCTTGCGCTCGTCATCCTCTTGTTGTTCTTCTGATCCTCGTCATCCACATACATCCCCTCACCCTTCATCTCCCCCTCTTCCTCCTCGTCCTCCTCCTCCTCCTCCTCCTCACCTAGTCGTACTCCTCCTTGTCTTTCTCCCTCTCATCCTCATCTTCGTTGTGCTCCTTTCCGTCATCATCATCATCTCACTCTTCGATTCCCCCTCCTCCATAGCGATGTTGTCTCAAGCCATTGTGCACGAGTCAGCGGCGGCGTTCGTCATTGCGGGAGGATCTCGGACCAGGGCCAGGCTGCAATGGAGGTTGTTCTCGCGGCGTGCTTGGCAGCGGTGGCAGCTGTCTTCGGCACGACACCTGCCGTCGCACATCCCAGCCTCGCCGGCAGTTATCTTGTATTCCGCAGTGGCTGCCGTCGCCCGTGCCTCAGCATCTGCAGCCGGGGGCCTTCGGGCTGACGGGACTGCCTACGTCGTGTTCCTGGGGCGCGCCGTCGGCGTCGTGAGGCTGGCGGCAGGACCGCCCTCGACGCCGAGCCCCCTTCACGGCGGCGAAGCACGCCCTCCGCAGCTCCCATCCCGTCTCGGGCGCCTGGGTAGATTCACGAATCTCAAGGTTTTTTGTGGTTTGCGTCGCGGCCCTGCGCGCAGCGACAGGGCGGAGAGAAGGTCGAAAAGCCACAAATGCGCGCGGACGCGACTAAGCACGCCCGGGCCCTCAGAGACCGCTTAGGGTCCAATCCTGAAGCACACCCTCGTAAGCCCTTCTCTTGGTATCAGTGCCGCAGCGTCGACGGGAGGCCCATCATTTCTATATATAATGGTGTTCCTGCTCGATCTCGCTGAGCAAGCAAGGGTACTGCGAAGGTAGCAGATTCCTGGCCGAGCACAAAACCCTCGTCGCCAGAGCGTGTGTGTTGCCCACTCCCACCCTCGTGAGCCCTGCGGCCGGTGCACCGGGCGACGTGGCGGGCAGCCGGGGCGCGGCCGCGCCCAGCGGGAGGGGTGCGCTGCGGGAGTGGGCAGCGAGCGAGGCTGCGCGCGCCGGCCTGTGCCCCGAGGTCGGCGTGGCCTCGGGGCACGAGGCTGGCGGGAGACCGGACCCAAGAACCGGCGGCGCGGCCAGTCGTCCAAACTGGTGGTACGGGCAGTTGCCACTACTGCTGGGGCCTCACGTCGCCCCTGGGACATAGTCACATGGTCATAGGGCTGAATGCCAAGGAAGACCATGTGGCGCGAGAGTCCCGAAAGACGCCAGGGCCAGAGCGGGAAGTAAGTCGTTCCTGGGGCAAGCGGTTGCTGGGAAATCCATCGGATTCCTTAGGCACGCCATCGGCTTCTCGAGGAGATGCAGAGGCTTTCCCAGGTCAATCCCAGGTGATTCCCCAGGGAATCCACCGGATTCTCTGGGATATCCATAAGATCCCTCAGGAGATCCACAGGATTCCCCCGGAAATCCATAGGCGTGGGCTGGGCTGCGGAGCGCCTTGAATCCCAGCGCTAGCATCAGCGGCTCCTCCGCGTGCGGCGCGGAGGGAGCACTTGGTGGATCTGCTCCACGCCGCGTGCGCCTCGTTCGATTTGTGCACTTCAGTCTGGGCGTGTGTGTTTTTTTGGGGGGGGACTTCTTTTTGTTGGGGGGGGGACACGTCTGAGGATGGGCCTCCGCGAAAGCTGCTAATTAGGGGCGAGCACAGCGCCCCCGGCCGCCAGGCCAGGCGGCCCACGACACCGGCGGCGAGGCCGCCGCGGCTCTCTGCCTCGTGGCGAGGGCCGCCGCCGAGGCGGAAGCCCGACAGGATCGGTAGAGATGCCCGGCCTGGCGCTCCCGATCCCTCCAGTGAAGCTTCCGCACGTCGGGGGCGGCAACGAGGGGGGTGACGACTGAGGGGGGGGGAGATATCATGGCGGGGGCCAGGGTACCTCACCAGATTTCACGGCGCCTCTTCTGATTTCATTCAGTCCCCCGCCCCCCCCCCCCCATGGGCCGCGCACGTGCCGCTGGCCATGATCTGCGCCCCCCCCCTCTTGGACGCCCCCCTCCCGGCCGCCCCCGAGCACGGGAGAGCAGTCATCCACAGGAGCCGAAGACTGCCAGCGGCGCGGCGGGTCCCCGACGACAGGGGCGCCCAGGGAGCGGGAGGCGCCGAGCAGCTTGCTGGCCGGCAGGGCGTGCGACCAAGGCCCCGCGGGACCCTCGGCGTGCGAACCGACGGCCGCCATATTCGCCACCACGCCGCGGCGCAGCCTTGCTGTGGCGATGGGCAGTCGTTGAGATTGGGGCCACTCGGCTCTTCGTCTTGGCATCGCTCGGACGTGTGCATTGTTCCTTCGGCGAGGGCCAGCGAGGAGCATCCTTGATCATCCGGCGACAAAACCACGCACGAAACCGAACAAAAGCACAGGGAGTGGACGCCCGAGCGATGCCCAGTCGCTGCTGCTGGTGGAGAGAAGAAGCAGCCCCGCCGAACCTCCTCGTCGGGCCTGGGAGGCGCCCGGCAGCGCTCGGAGCCCCAGGTCCGCCGAGGCCCGTGCCCCTCACGCCGCGCCCCGCGGGCACCGTGCCGGCGACGGGCCCAGGGGCTGCGGAGGCTCGCGTGCCTCCCGCGCCCCCGGGGGCTGCACCGCTGCGTGCCTGGTTCTTCCTGCCATTCTTCTCCATCCATCCACATCCTCCTTCCATCCACCCACCTCCCTCCGCCATCCACATCCTCCTCCTCCTCCATCCGCCTCCTCGTCGTCCCCCTCAGCGCTTTCGTCCTCATCGTGACTGCCACCCCTGCTGTTCCACATCCGCTTTTCTCATCACCATCCGCCGTCTGCTCGCCCCGCAAATCTGTAATCCACTTCTTGCAGTTTTCGCTGTTGTTTTTTTTGTGGGCGGCCCCGAACATCATCTACTTTAAACGCCATCCTACTCCATGTTTCTTACAACTTTCAACGACTGGTGTGTACTCATATTGCTCGTCCTCCCCCTCTCCCTTCCAGGCTCGACCGACTTTTGCGTGGATGCCGACGGCACGGCGGAGCAGCCGCAGGCTTCGGGGGTCGCCGTCAATCGGTACACATCCTGGCCCGCTGCATATCGGCACACATCCAGCCAGGCCGATACTGGCTGCACCCATCGACATCAATCGGCACACATCCATCGACAGCAATCGGCACGCGTAACTTGATGGTGCTGCTATTCGTACACAGGAATCGACACCCAGAGGCACACATCCAGCCAGGCCGATCCCGGCTGCACGAGGCCAGCGGGCGCGACCCCTGTCAGGAGGAAAAGAAACACACAGACACAATTAATCCTCGATTCCCCAAAAAATATGAGAAAATATGGGAAGTGGGGGGGAAGACAGAAACCCTAGAAAATATGGGAAAATATGGGGGATATTTTTATTTGTGTGTATTTATTTGTGTGTCCTAATTTCCCTTTACCCTGGCTGGCCCGCCAGCCTCGTCCGGGAACGCGTCTGCACCGGCCCCTGGCCAATCTGACCAGTAGCGCCACGTGCGGGCAGGTGGCGCCCCCTCCCGAAGGCCGGCACTTCCGGCTCCGCGGCAGACTCCGGCGCGGTGGCGCAGGCACCGGCGCGCCAGCAGGAGACAAAAGCTAGGTCGGGCATGTCCCCTCTACAGGCCAGTTTTGGAAAATAAGAAATGCCCCACAAAAGTGTCAAGAAACATGCACGAATACCCCCAAAATCGTCCGCATACTACTTTTTGACTATTGCGAAGGCCTTGCGGCCGGTGCCGCCGACCCCCAATGACGACCTCGACGACGACGAGCGCTCTCGGGGGCCTCTTGGGGGTATTTATTTGGGGGCCTCTTGGGAGCCGCTTGGGAGCCGCTTGGGAGCCTCGTGGGGGCCTCGCGGGGCTTCCCGGGGGCCTCCTGGGGGCCTCTTCAGGGCCTCGTGGGGGGCCTACTTCTGGACGTTCCTCCTGCCGAGGCGCAGACCCGACCGGAGACAACAGCGCGGGGGCGACCCGACCCGGTGAGACCCCTCTCCGAGGGCCAGCCGGCGGAGGGGCAGCGAAGACAGCAGGACGCACGCCCTCCCGCGAGGCAACGGGGCGGCTGGAGCGGCCAGGCCCACGCCGTCAGTGGGCTGTCGGCAGCCCGTGGGGGGTACGGTTGGCTGCCCTTCGCTTCGGAGAGCCCGGAGGCGGAGGTCGATAGACCCACCTTGGCACGTCGATTGCTGGCCACGCGCAGAAGGGGGTAGGGGGAGGGGGGAAGACTTCTTAGAAGCACCCCTGCTTCTTAGAAGGCGCGGGCTTTATTTGTAGATGTAAGGCCGGCGCCTTCTAAGAAGCAGCTTGCTTCTTCCCCCTCCCCCCACCCCCTTGTGCGCGCCGCCAAGATTGGTGAATTGGCCGTTTTCGGTTCGCGAGAGGGCGTCCCAGCCGGCATTCTTGCGGGTCCAGGTCCGTCGGCTTCGGGGTCCTATAGGCCGTTTTCACTAATAGAGGAGGTTTGCTGAAGGGCGCTCTGTCCACCGTCGATCAGGAGGGGAAAACACACACACAGACACAATGAATCGTCGATCCCCAAGAAAATCTGGGAAAATATGGTAATTGGGCGGGAAGACAAAAACCCGGAAAAGATGGGAAGATATGGGGAATCATTTTATTTGTGTGTATTTCTCTGTGTGTCCTGGGGCCCCTTGCGTCGAGGGAGGCGGCACAGACGTAGATCTTGGAAGGTCCGCCCGGTCGGCTCGGGTCGGCGCTGGAGCCCGCTGCCCACGCCCTCTTTCGGCCCTCCCCGGCGCACGGAGCGCGCAGGGGACAGCGCCGGATGCGCCGTGGGAAACGTACCTCGTAGAGCTCTTCGGCATCGATGAGCTGTAGCGGAATTCCGGCGCGGGGTGGAGCTAGTTGGCCCACCCGGCGTGGGCGGACAATGTGATGACCTGGGGTCGGTTTTTGCCAGATTGTGAGAGATGTGACCGTTCGTTTTGAGAACCAGTATTTTCATAACGTGTAGTGGGTTATGCCGCGTCTGCCAGTGAAATTCTCAGGTCCGTAGCTACAATATTACTGTCAAAAGACGTGGGGGAACCGACTCCGAATTATAGAAGAAAAACTTGTATTTTCGAGTTTTAAAGCTGATGCTCAAGAAAGCTTTCTCCTTGTGTTCCGAGCAGCGCTACGCGTGGAAAGAGATCTACGAGGGTCCCGGCGGTAACCTGGTTGACGGTTTACCGCCGGCTCCCAGTAGGTCCCACGCCGACCCATGAACCCGCCCGGACCTCTGCGGGGTTACGCGTGTGGTCTTCTGTTGTTGATGGGTCTGTGTTCCACCACCACCACCATAAGTTGGAGGGGGAACGGGTCCTCCTCCTCCTCCTCCTCCTCCTCATAATCATCATCATCATCATCATCATCATCATCATCATCATCCTCATCCTCATCCTCATCCTCATCCTCATCATCATCATCAGCATCAGCATCAGCATCAGCATCATCATCATTGTCATCATCATCATCATCATCATCATCATCATCATCATCATCATCATCATCATCATCATCATCATCATCATCATCATCATCATCATCATCATCATTATCATTATCATCATCATCATCATCATCATCATCCACCTCCTTCCCCCTCGAATTTGTGGTGGTGTTTGTGGAAAACAGGCCCATCAGTTGTCTCTCGATGCTCGGATTCTTGCCCGTTGCCTTGAAGGAGATGGGTCGCGAGGGAAGGGGAGGCGACGGCAGGGGCGGGGGGGCGACACGCATTCGCCCTGGAGCCTCGCTGAACACACTGGCCATCGGGTCTCAGGATAGTGTTAAGTCGGGAGTGTCCCTCTACAGGAGGAATATTCAAGAATAGTGGAGCAATGGATCGCGCCGCATCGCCGATGCATCGGCGATGCGGCTCGATGTGGAGCCCGAGTTTCTCCGCGCCGACGTCGCCGGTGCATCACTGACGTTGCCTGTGCATCGCCGGTGCATCGGCGATGCGGCGCGATCCTCCGACCACATCTACTCCGACCTCATCTAGGAGGCCTCTAGCAGAGAGGAGTACAGTGGGGACGCGCATCAAGAAACCTACTGCTTTTCGTCAGGGTACCCTCGGGTTCTTCGCACCGCGCGCTGCGCGGTGGCTTCCCGTGGCCGCTGAAGGAGCGGCTGCGCTCCGGGTGCTCTGAGTTCCCTCTGCGTCTCGCGCCTGCGAGTTTCAGGGCTGTGTTTCTTGCGAGGGTCTCTTGCGGCTGCGCTCGAACTGTAATTAGGGGGAGGGGGGAAGGCTTCTTAGAAGAACCCCTGATCCTTAAGAAGGCGCGGGCCTTACACCTATAGATGTAACGCTGGCGCCTGCTAAGAGGCAGCCTCCTCCTAAGAAGCCTTCCCCCCTCCCCCCCGACCTCCCTTGTCAGAGTCCCGAATCATCAGGGGCAACTCAGGTCAGGGCCATTTCGGGCTCGTCACCCGAGTTGCCCCGGGCCCGAGTTACCCCGGATAACTCCAGCCACGCGCAGAGGGGGGTGGGGGGAGGGGGGGAGGGATGCTTAGAAGCACCCCTGCTTCGTAGAAGGCGCTGGCCTTATCTATAGATGTCAGGCCGGCGCCTTCTACGAAGCAGCCTCCCTCTAAGGAGCCCGCCCCCCTCCCTCCACCCTCCTTGTGCGTGCCGCCACTAACTCGGGCGCCCAACCTTGAACTCTGCACGAACGAAACGGGCACGGAAAGAATGGGTACAATGCTCAACAGCAGTCCCTGGTCATTTTGAACAGGGCTCGCTGTCCGCGCCGCCGCGGCCTGTGTCCACTTGAGACAGAAGACCGCCTGCCCAACAGCGGCCGCTGTTGCTTCGGGACACCATTTGTTGTTGGGCATTGTACCCATTCATTCCGTACCCATTCTCTCCGTACCCATTTCGGGCACCCTGCTTCTTCAGAAGGCGCGGGCCTCATCTATAGATGTAAGGCCGGCGCCTCCCAAGAAGCAGCCTCTCTCTGAGGAGCCCGCCCCCCTCCACCCCTCCTCCTCCTCCTCCTCCTCCTCCTCCTCCTCCTCCTCCTCCTCCTCCTCCTCCTCCTCCTCCTCCCCCTCCCCTCCTTCTCCTCCTCCTCCTCCTCCTCCCCCTCCTCCTCCTTCTCCTCCTCCTCCTCCTCCTCCTCCTCCTCCTAAGAAGCAGCCTCTCCTAAGAGTGCGCGCCGCCACCAACTCGGGCGCCCAACCGTGAACGCGCCGCCAAGAAGAGCCCTGGCGGCCCGAGCACGAAGGAAGGCCCCCCCCGCTCCCGAGCCGCCGGCACGCGCCGGGCGGCGCGCCCGCTGCGGCGGGCCGCCCGGCCGGGGGCGGCGCAGGCCGAGCCCCGAGAGGCCAGGCGGCCAGCCAGGCTGAGCCTTAAGTCGAGCATGCCCCTCGAGGGAGGGATCTTCAAAAAATATTCAAACATACAAGAATGTTCAAACATATGCAGCTCTGCAGATCTGCAGGAGGAATGCAGATCTGCAGGAGGAATCTTCAATATCCAAGAAATATGCTGATCTGCAGGAGGAGGATTCAAAAATACCGGAAAGTTCCGGTTCTGTTCCGTGTCGTAAGTTTCCGGTTCGGTTCGGTTCGGTTCCCATTGACAAAAAGCACCGGTTCGCGCCGCTTCGGTTCGGCCCGGTTCGGCCGGTTCGGTTCGGTTCGGGAACCATCCTGAAAATAGCAAAGAAATAGTCAGGGGACGATGCTCCGACTGCTTTCCGTAATTGTTGAGCATTTTTGGGGGGTATGTTTGTGTTTCCCTCCAAAATCCGCCTGCAGGTGGACATGCCCGATCTAAGCCTAATTGGCCAGCTTTCGAATAGAGAGTCGACTGCAGAGACGGCTTACCCCGAACACTGATTGGTTGTAGAATCGGCGGGCCAAAAGCGTAGAATACTCCGT